ATCTCTAATTATATGGTCAGGGCTCTCAATTTTATCTGGACAAAACTGGCAGTACGGATTACTTGCAAGCCTGAACCGGTATAAGTATTCACGGAAGCAACCATGCTCCGTAAGAAACTACGTTAATTGAAATCCCAGGTCTCCAGATCCTCGGTTCATCCAAACTTTTATATTTGGAATTAAGGAATGCGTCCATCTTGATTTTTGGGAATGGTCCCACCTATGTTGCTATTCATTAAGATATTTGTCTCTTATTTCTAGATAAGTATGTGACAGAAATTGCTGAGTTTCATTCATTCGTAGACGAGAACGCAGTAAGAAGCTGTCTCTGGCCAAGAGCGCTTCAAGGTCTATTGGCAAACGTCCTGCCAACACTCCCGCAGCATCATCCGATACTGTACGGTAAACATGGCAGATGCGTAGGTTTGCCAATCTATGTGCGCTTTTTGAAATTCAACCTACTATCAAGGGTAACACCAAGATACCCCTGTGTGTTGGTTTTGATGTGTTGTGCAATGTTGTGTTTTGTTATATTGTGTTGTGTTGTAATGTATTGTGTTGAATTTTGTTGAATTGTGAGTATACAATCACAGCTTTTGTGAAACACATTTGTAATAAAATAATAGCTGTCTCTATCAGAACTTTTTTGTTTGTGTTTACTTCTTCTTCTTTATTAATAATTTAAAAACATACAATAATTATCCATACTTTATACATTGTTTACTTAAAGCTATGACTAATGTCGTCAGCTTTACCTAGCGATTGCCTACTCTTCTTATCCCTCTAATCTTGTAGTGAGTTTGATGTTATAATTAGTAGCTATTGTTGGTGTGAATACATAAGTGCGGTTAAAAGATCTCATCTATAATTTGTTACCTATATTTTATCGCCAGTTCATTCCATTAAGATCACCATGCAATTCCGTTTGGCTCAAAGTCGTTTTTCCGAAATACTTGTATCTTATTTCCTTTAAAATTGGGCAGATTGCGAAAAAGTGTTTAACGTTTTCCGTTTGCTGTTTATTACATAGGCTACAAACAGATAGTGCACCACTTACGTAGGGTAAATAATTGAGTTTGATGAGTTCAGTACGAGATTTGAAAATTGTACGAATATTTTCCACAGTATATTTATCATTAAAATAATTCATTGTCCCCAGATTGTAAGTTAGTTCTCTGTATGTTTGTCTAGAGTAACTTGTTTTTGCCTTATAAACAAATCGGTCTCTATCACTTTGATCCTGTTTTAGTAGAATGCGCTACTGCCAGTCAATCCAACCATTCATGGCCTCTAAATTCAAATTTTCTTCATGTTCCTCGGCTAAATTTAACCATGCCGCAAAATACGAACTCCTTCTACCTAAAAAGTATGTCGCAAGCCGTTTGGTAAGTCTGCTATCTGTGTGTTTCATAACAGCGTTAATATATTGAAAGTGGGATTTTAAAGTGCCGATATGTAGTGTTGATAGGCCTATTTCCAGGTAGATTGCGTAGTCTGGCGTGTTGACCGGTAGACGAAAAATACGTTTGATAAAATAAGTCAGCAGTTTTTCCACCTCATTATATTTTTCAAAACCCCAAACTTGGGAAGCATAATTCATAATTGAGTTGACAGCAGCTTGGAAAACTTTGTATTTAACTGAAAGAGTTACCGTATCATTTCCTAATACTCTTCTCCATGTGCTGTTTATTGCTAGTTTTTATTCTTTTATTTTTATTCTTTTTATTAATGTGTGTTTCGAATGTTGCATTAACGCCTAAATACTTATATGTCTTAACTACTTTCAATTATTTACCGTTAAGGTACCACTTTTCACCGCATGCAAGACGCCTTGCATATTTTTTAAATATTATTATTTTTAACTTTGCTATATTGACTTCTAAATTCCATGTATTACAGTAATCGTTCAGTCTATTTATCATTAGCTGCAAGGCTCTTTGTGACTCTGCAAACAGCACCACATCATCTGCATATATCAGAATCTTTATTTGCATGCCATCAATCACGATGCCACCGTTTAAAAAATTATCCAGGTTATCTAAAAATAAAGTAAATAAAAGGGGACTTAAAATACAGCCTTGTTTAACCCCAGACTGTGTAAGAAACCAATCAGAAATAATATTTCCATCCAACACTGCTGCTTTACTACCATGATACAAGCTCCAAATAATTCGCATCATTTTTGTAGACAATCCTAAGTTCCTAAGCTTATAGAAGAGCGCATTTCTTAGCATTGAATCGAACGCCGCCTTGAAATCCACGAAAAAGACATAAAGTTTTTTTTTTCTGAAACCTGATTGAAATTCACTTAACAGTGTATGGTTATCAACCCATTCTTGTAGCCACTCGTTCAAAATACTTGCAAATACTTTCACCATGGCATTGTTAAAAGATATACCCCTATAGTTTTCTGGATTCTTTGTGCCACCTTTTTTGTACAATGGGAAGATAATCGACTTGCGAAAAGAATCAGGCACATTGCCGCTGTTGTAAATATAATTAAATGATGCTGTCATATTTTCAATAAATAGATCCGAACCATATTTAAGGAATTCCATGGGTACTCGATCCTCTCCAGGAACTTTATTATCCTTACACTTGTGCAATATTTTTTGACTTCTGCTACTGTAATCGTTCTGTCTAGTTCAATCATTTCAAGTATGGGCATCTCATAACTTAAACTCTCATTATGTATGCTGTTGTTTAGTATCCGCTCAAAGTGTTTACTCAGTTCCAGTGCGTCTAGCTTTGCATTTTTTATATGACTCGTCTCATTCAATTTTCGAACTTTGCCCCAAAAGGATTTACTGTCTTTTGCTGTTGCTATTGAGATAGCTAGCTCATTATAGTGAGTCGCTCTTTTATGTTGGAGAAGTTCTTTAAATCGTTTATTTGCTTGACTGTAGTTTGTCATGTCTTACTTTAATCCTGTGTTTTTAAATCTTCTTAGCAATCAAAAAGATGTATCTTTTAATATTTTACATTCAGAGTCAAACCATTGGTTTTGTTTTACACCAGTTTTTTGCTTTCGTTGCAGAGGCTTTGCTGCATTATTTATACAATCCATCAAAAACTCAATTTCATTTGTTGAGCATATTGTCGCTCTATTTACTCTAATAATTTGTTGATTAAGTGTTAAATTATATATTTTCTCGATACGTTTGTTCCAGTACAGTTTAAGTAACAACTGTAGACCTGAATTTTCCTCCGAAATAATTTTCCCGGCGTGGACACTTATTGTAATCGGCTGATGGTCTGAGTAAATAAAATCCTGCACTTTGAAGTTTTTGATTATATTCAACCAGATCCCCGCTCCACATAGTTCCTCTGTGAAATGTATGCTTGCCATCTTTGTCGCCCTCGCATCTTCAATTCAGCACAGTAAGACTTACCGTATTGCAGATTTCTAGTAGTCTTTTGCCATTTCTATCTACTTTGTCATCCATAGCTCTGCGCTGTGCACTTAGTCCATTGGCTTGTAAAGTTGGGTTAAATTCCAAACATTGCTCCTTACCAATTTTAACATTACAGTCTCCTACAACTAATACATTTTCACCCTAATTCGAACAGTACATCACTTAAGTTTTTAAAATCCGCATCCCAGTTGTTACAATTAATATTGGAATAATGTACGCCAGTGTCTCTCCAAATTTTAGCTTAACTACCATCATATTCAATATTTGTGTAAATCGTATATTCATTTTAGCTGCTAAGTTCTTCTTTATTCCATATAACATACCGCCACTAGCTCTTCCTTTGAATGCGACCCGAGTTGCTGGAATCCACCATAATAAATACTTTTCAAACACTTTATCAATCTTCTTCAAGGATTTTTCCATGAACGTTTCAAACAAAAAAAAAAAACAGATCAAATGAGTTTACATAATTTATAAAATCGCAGTAATTAACTTTCTTTATTAGACCTGCTACATTAAATGCTAAAATTTCTTTTGAATTTGAATCTAAACTGAAACCACAGCCGACAACATTGTCTTTATTTAGTTTTTTTGAGAATTAATTGTTTCCAAAATCTCGCAATATGTTACATTTATTGACTCCAGGTTATTGCCATAAAGTGCCTGCAGTACATCCCTTCCATTACTGTTACCATATTTCAGCTCCTTTTCTTTATTCCAGTACAGCCATTTGTTATCAATTTTCATACGATCCTCTCTAACTACTATATTACGACTTTGGTCTACAGCACGCAAATTTCGTTTTAGTTTAAGCATGACCCGTTTATCTGATTGTTTCTCTGCGCCCTCTGAATTGAAATTTCCGTATTAGCGAGTTTTTTAATATTGTTGAAAATATTAAATATACACTGCTCTGCTTGAAACTCTGCAACGACACCTATTTTGTCGTGTTTCTCGAATATTTTTCTTACAGAAACTATTTGCACATCATCGACGTGCAGAACTTCAGCACATAATTTCCGAATCGACAATGTTGGATTGTCAGTTTTTTTCAAACCCCTGATAACAAGAGATTTTCGTTTTCGTGCATTTATAATATAATTAATATTACGTGCATCCCGTTCGCGCTATTGTTCGAGCTGCGTCACCGTCTGTTTTAGCACACGAATGTCTGCAGTTAGCTCTGTAATCTTACTAGAGAGTTCGCCCACTTCCGACACAATCACCTCTAAATCAGCTTTTGTTGGCAAGTTGCTTAGCTTTTTATCCAACAAGTCAGCCAATGATGCTCTCATTAACCCTATCAGTTCTGTTATATTCATATTACCTACTTGCATTGAAGATTTAGCCTGGTTTATTTCTTCTGGGAAAAGTTCTGTCAATGGTCTTTTAGCTGCTGAGGTTCTTACTTGTATTTTTGAAACTTGTGTTTATATGTGCACAAAACCAAACTGTTTTTTTTGTTTGAATGGTTACTTACTTTTTATTTTGAGCTTTAGAAATTAATCTGCTGTCTCTGTCAACTCAAACGAGTTTTTAAATAAAGTTGTGCAACAATCAAAAATAAACCAACTCCGGAAAGAAATGGCAGGCTACAACTTAGACCTAGTAGCTGTGCAGGAGTTCAGGCAAACTGGGTATGGTCAAATCAATGACGAAAAAACGGTTTTTATCTATTCAGGACGACCCGAGCGGGAAGATCACAGTAGAGGCGTGGGTTTTTTGATGTCCAAGAAGATTGCAAGAAGCATGGTTGGATGGCACCCATTATATGAAAGAATGATGGCGCTAGAACTACAAACGGGAGCTCGTAAGCTACTTGTTGTTAATGTTTATGCTCCAACAGAAAGCAAGTCAGAAGTCGAAAAAGAAAAATGCTACGACCAACTGAACAGTTGGTTCAACAGTCACATCAGACGAGGAGATATCACACTATTCCTTGGTGATTTTAATGCAAAAATAGGATCCGACAATGCCAATGTTAAACATAACCTTGGAGTACACGGTCTAGGAATTTGAAATGACAATGGAGATAGATTATTGGAGTTTTGCTGTGAAATAGCAAAACGAATGACAAACACGTATAATGAGATGAGCACACAGCTACTAGGATTTAAGAAAACTAACAACAAGCCATGGATGTCGCAGGAGACAACTATTGACATCAGAAGAACAACTGACTCGATGGGTTAAGCATTTTACCGAAACATTGAATAATCCGCTACAGATCAGCAAATACCATCTTAATCTATTATTACTCTATCTATAATAAATCACTCTACACCAACAAAAAGCGACGTAATCAATGCTATAAAGAGTCTTAATCGTGGCAAGTTACCTGGAAATGATAATAACTGTATTGAATTACTGTAGTGCGACTTAGAACAGACAACCACAATATGGCTTCCACTTATTCAAAAAATCTGGAACGAGGAATCTTTACCTAGTTTGTGGAATGAAGGTACCTTAGTAAAAATCTCCAAAAAGGGAGACACCAAAGACTGCAATAACTATAAAGGCATAACCTTGCTTCCTATTCCAAGTAAGATAATAAGCCGTATTATTCTATCACGCAATTCAGAAGAAATAAACAAAACGCGTGATAATCTCGGATTTCGGGAAAACCATTCATGCATTGATCTAATCAACACAGTCCGCATTGTGTTCGAGCAATGTAACGAGTTCCGGACATCAGTATACGCAGCCTTTATAGACTACAAAAAGGCGCTTGATAGTGTCAACAGAGGATTTCTTTGGAATATTTTAGCGAAACGACAAGTTCCAACCAAAATAATAAATGTTATTAAAGCAATATACGTTGGATTCAAATTTCGAGTATTGCACAACGGGTTGTTGTCAAATACATTTGAAGTAGCCACAAAAGTAAGACAAGTGTGCATATTATCATCACTTGTATTTATCCTAGTGGTGGATGAAGAGATGCGAGCGTCCTTAAAAGACAACAAAGGTATCCAGTGGAACTCATTCATGCAATTGGAAGACGTGGAATACGCAGACGATGTTTGTCTACTCAGTCATAACATCAGAGAGTTACAAGAAAATATAGAAGCATTTAGGATAAATGCAGCAGTTGCCAGCCTAGAGATTAATTGCAACAAGACAAAAGTAATAGCGGGAGGATACAGCTCGAACTCTTCGCCAGTTGTTAAAATAAAAGAAGAAACGGTGGAATGCGTAGATAAATTCTATTTTCTAGGTAGCATAGTCGCAACTAAAAGTGGTGCGGACGAAGACATTGACTCTAGTTAACAAAGCTTAATCTGCATTTGCCATGTTGCTTGTTGTGTGGCGCTATAACCAAATTTTCACCCGCACAAAAATTCGTATTTACAACTCCAATGTTAAGTCTGTGCTATTCTATGCCTGTGAGACCTGGAAAAGAACAAGAGAGATTAATACAAAAATACAAACTTTCGTGAACAAATGTTTACGACAAATATTAAAAATATGGTGGCCCAACTGCATCACAAACACCAACCTATGGGCCGTTACAAATCAATCATTTGCTACTATGAAGATAAGAAGACGTAAATGGTGCTGAAACGGCCACAATCTACGCAAACCCAATGAAAATATTGCACGCCGAGCTCTGAGATGGAATCCTCCAGGCAGTCGTCGATTTGAAGCATCTGCTAAAACTTGGAGAAGAACAATTGAAGAAGAACTAAGAGAAGCGAACTGTTCCTGGAGTGACATATGTCTTGAATCAAATAACTGAATACGATATAAAAAGATAAGAGAGAGAGAGAGAGAGTACAAAAACCAACGAAAATTGAAAAAGCTGTTTTCAAATTAATATTTTATGCACTTTTAACTTGTTGTGATTGTTTTTGTCCAAAAATGTTCTTTTTTGTGTTTTTGTATTAATAACAAAAGTAATTCTTATAAAAATATTTGTTATATACTTGTTTTTATACTCTAATTTAAATTTCTCGGAGATGGGCTTAAAAACACGCCCGCTCACTAGAAATGTTCTGCTTGATAATTAAAACGTTGCTTTTTTAGTGATAGATCATTATCATAGACAGACCCATCATCAAAACAGTAAGTTAGATACTAATGAAATGCCTCAACGTTATTTGATACCAAGTTCTCATTCTATTTTAAACATGGGATGTAGTCAAGATAGATTGTCTAACACTTGATCACCTAACAGCGCATTTACATAAACCGGTACAGATTATTATAATCCATTGGGGGCATTGCTTTAGTAAGTATAAAAGTTATTAATCTTAACGATTCCATGATCTAAGTGGGGAATAATTCAACTGTTGAATATAATCGAATTACTTCGGCAAATCACTACTTAGATAGCGGCAATCTCAAAATAAAATGCTCAAGGAGTTTCAAATTAATTAAATTTTACATTCGAACATGGTAACATCATGTTACGTATCCAGCTTATGTGTGCAGTGTGAGTGGTGATTATTGACACGGTGGCGTGGCCGGTATGCTCGCCGGTATTGGGGTGACTCTTTTACCATGCTTCACCACACTTGGCTCGTAAACAAAATAAAAAAAAAATTTACCATAATAATATTCAATCCAAAGATGGGATTTGACTAATTTAAAATTCGACTGCACTAAAATGATTTGAAATGAACCAAAGTTTTTTTTAAATTCAAAAATCTAAAAACAAAGGTTTGAAGTGATGATTTTTTTATATTTGAACTTAAAAATACCTGTAAGGTATTAAACTTTACAGGGTTTTTCGAATCCAAACAAATTATGGTATATACGGGCTATAAACTAATTATATAAAAATTTGATTATTTCCTAAGACCACTGATGAAGAGTACTTGGCAATACTCGAAACAGCGTTGTATTGTCAGCCAAATTTCAATAAAAATTAAAATAAATTTTTGTGTTTGTCCTTTATTTCTTTCTTTGCTATTCGAAAAACCCTCTAAATTTTAAATAAAGCCTATTTGTCACCCTTCAAAGAAAGCGTAGCTTTTCAGCAACACTAGTACTTTATTCAAAAGTTTACTTTTAAAATATTTTAAGATTGACTGCACCAAAAATTTTCAAAATATCCAGTTTTTTTGTTGAATTCGAAAATTTTGAAAAATTTTTGAAGTAATGACTTTAAAATACCTGAAAAGTGTTAAAGTTTAAATTACATTTAAAAACTTTTAAAATTTAACTGCACCAAAATCACTTGGTATGTTGATGTGTAAATTAATACACGCTACGAACAAATATATAAAATCACTTTTGAACTACATATACAAAGTAGTGTTATACAAATATCAAAAAATTGACAATGGATTAGAAAAGAACATCTATGGAGTTAACAGCACAAAAGGAGCAATGGTCCAGCTAAGTGAAATCCAAAATTCTTCTTTTTTTCCTCTTTGTGTATTCGGATAAATTTATCGTTTTTTTACTGCTAAGTAATATATTATATTGTATAAAAATATTAAACATAAATAATATATAGTACTAAGAAGTTAGCAATGAAGTTTGTACATATATAATTTCGATTTTTTTTTCATCTCTTTTTTTTTGTTAATGTAATATTCTCTTATATTTTAAATTTGTTGATAAGTATACCTTTAAATAGGTATATAAACATAATCATAGCAATTCTGAATACTCCCAGGGAACAAAACTCCCTATTCTCACGCTATTTCCAAAAACACAACTCCCTTATTCTGAATTGCTTGGGAGACAGCAGTTTTGGGAACAGCAACAGTTCCAAATTTGTTTTGTTAAATTTTGGCAACCATGCCACTTTTTAATGACGAAAAGTGCGAAAATTAGCAAAACAAAGAAAAGAATTGCGTTTACATGTTGATTTAAATGTAAAAATAGCATTATTTGTCTGCTGCACAAATGATCAAAAATAAATATAAATTATTTTATAAGTGAATAATAAAAAACTTTTATTTTTATGAGTAAAATAAACATAAACAAAGAATTGTGCATGAGCAAAATAAACGTATAAAAAGAATTGTGACGTTGTTAGTGTTCATTTTAAAAAAAATTTTCAAAAAGTTTTCAAAAATGCATTCAATTACATTTCGAATTGTAGCGAAGGATGTAGCTCAAGAACAGGATTGCTCCTGTTCTGAAATTCTGCAACAGAGCATCAATCGAAAAAATTTGCGAGCCGCTGCAAATCCACTTGAGTTGCCCGATTCCTTGTAACTACAAATGTAAATTTAATTTGGTTTCAAAATAAACGTTTTTTTCATTACAGATTTCAAAACTGTTACAGAATAAATAAACCAGCATTTATTTTCCTGTTAGAGAAACTTACTAAAGAAATACAACCAGCAAAGAAACAATTTGCAGCTTCTCCAATTATGAAATTGAGCGGCTGTATGCGTTTTTTTGCTGAATGAGCTTATAAGACAAGGGTTTGGATAAGATTACGATGTCGGTCTAGCTCAGTCTAGCTTTAGTACAGTGTTTTTGAAGTTGTAGACATTTTTGAAACGCGCCTATTTTCAAAATGGATAAGTGTTCCAAAAACATCTGAGGAAAGAGGAAAATAGCTTCAGCATTTTATGTTAAAATTAACTTTCCCGGAGTAATGTATTTTTTCCATTAACTGCAGCAGCATTTGTTATTGCATTTTATTTGCGTTTTTAGCCCTGTGTAAAATTAAACTCTTTAATTTTTCAACTCTTTTTTTAACTAATTAAAAAACAACCTTACGCTATATAAATTCTTCAATCTCTTTATTTACAAACATTTACTGCTTTTGTACAAAATTGGCGTAAATCATAATTTAACTTTATAATTAGGATAGAATCGTCCTTCAATTAATAATACTAATAATAGTTTATGATGTTACAATAAAAAATAAGAAATGTTTTACTTGCGCATAATTGCTAAAGTTTATTTTAACCTATTTTAGGAATCCCATTCATTCTAGGATTTAATTCCTTTCGTTATCGATTGTTTTAAATAACAATAGTTAACGCTTTATTTTGTGGATAAAATGAATAAAAATTGAAATATTTTAAATTTGTAATAATACTTTTATTATAATACTAATTTTAATAAAATATAGTATTAAATAAAAATTTAGTTATATTAAATTCATTATAATAATTTTATTTAAATATATTCGAAAGAATAATAAAATAAATAAACTGGATAAAATAAATAAATAAAAATTAGAAAATATTAAATTTATTGTAATTATAATAATAATTATAATTATAATAATTAAAATATATTCCAAAATCTGATCATTTTCAGTTACTTTCATATTAAATTAAACCATTTTTAATACTTTTTTAACTTGTCTCCTAAACAATTTGCTTGGGAAAGAATTTGTGCAAAATTGGAAAAAAAACTCCCATTTCCATGAGATTCATAATAGGGCTGAATATGTATGAATGTATGTTTATAGACAGGAAACTATATGCCATAAAGGTCCATTAGAGTACAAATATAAAGAGAGTTTGTAGTTTGTGTGTGTGTGTTCTACTTACAGGTTTTCTCGCTGGTGACGTCATCAACAGGGAGGCGAATCCGCGGGTAAGAGTAGCGTTGTAAAAGAGTGCCAATTGTAATACACCTCTGTTTTTATTGTCTTTTTTTGTTCATATATACATACATATAAATGAGGATATGAAATATATATTTCTTTTGTTTTATTAATTTAGATTTAAAATTTAGTTAAGTTTTTGTTAAGTTTTTGTTTTTCTTTATTTTTATGTATATTTTTTTTGGTTTTTAATATCAATAGTGTAATGACCTTTTCCGGCCCTTTTTATAGCTGGAGTATACTCAGCGAGTATACCAAGGTTCGTTACAAGAAATTAATAAAAAAACTTAAATAATGAGACACTTCTATTTATAGCACCGTTTATTGTTTAACAAAAAAAAAATACAATTAAGTTGTGGAAAGTTGTGTTGTAGAATGCTGTAAATGTTGTAATCAGGATTGATGTCAGTGGTGCGCGGGTTGCTATCATTAGAAACGTTGAGATCTGTAACAGGATAAATTCCAAATAGCCTCTTTAAAAAAAAACATCTTAAGGAAGTGAAAAGTTGTTACCCATTCAGTAAAATCCTTGTCAGCTAAAGCCAGGCAAAGTTCCCTTTTCAATGCGAAACCTGGCCACAATTGTCAGCAATTGCCAAACGCTCGTGGATCCACACGCCTTCCAACAGTGTTGGTGACTTGTCATCCATTCTTTCATCAGCTATGGCCAAATTCAAGTCTGGTCAACTGGTTAAAAACCCTACGCCAGCAAAAGCCAAGCAGAAGGTAATTCAACCACCAT